TCTCAGCACCTGCTGGGAGGAGGGAGGTGAGAAAAAAGAGAAAGCCATTCCTTCTGTATGAAGTCAGCATGGCAGGCAGACCCAGCAGTGGAGATCTTTGTGCAGCTGTGTGGCAGGGTCGTCTTCAGAGAGAGTGAGAACTCCGAGGAGTCAGGTCAATCAGACTTAGGATTTGGGCCAGTAACTGGAAAGAGGATAGAAGAAGAGAAGTAAAAGGCTTTATCCTCTGTGAGAACTTAGAAAAGTGGGCCGGCTTAGCTGTGAGGATCTGTAAGCACATCTCTATAAGTACATCTCTCATTAAGGGGATAGTTATTCCTCCCATCTCTTGTCTTCGGGCGTATCAGCTTTCCCCAAAGATGGTCTCCTGCCTGATGCTCAGTTGCATTAAGTTATAAAGGAAGGGACAGTGATAGGTCTCTGTAATTTTATAATATTTGGGCAGCTTACAATGCCAGGCCTTCATCCAGAGTCAGAGATACAGCTCTGATTTCATCTGTTTAATAGAAAATCATGTAACAAAGAAGATTAAAGAGAAATGAAGAAAAATGAAAAATAAATCTATAAAATAGCCGTGCTTTATTAGGAGGAGATGGCTTTCCATTAATGAACCTGAACAGTCTTGGCAGGCCCCCTTCGTGCCTCCCATCTCTTTTATATTATACATTAAAACTTGAGGGATAATTCTGACTCCCTTTTCCTGTCACATAAAATTTTAAATTTTTAGGAGGGACAGTTATGCTGCTTCTCATGAACACCTTTGAACTTGGGTTTTTTCCTGGGACCCAGGAGGTGAAGTCCAAAGCTCAACATGAAGAGGATGGTCCATCTTCCAATCCTGCTCATGTCTGTCCATCTACCTGACACTCAGAGCCTTTGATGTCCTGTCTTCTAGCATTTCATAAAATATATACTAGGTTGTTCTTAGACATATATAATTACCCCATGGTGCATATAATATTAGAAATCATTCCTCCATTATTCCAATGTTGATAATCCTCCCTTTGAAAAATAAGATTGTGGACACTGGTTCAAGTCCATCTGGTGGGGTCTCCTTGGCTTCCTTGATCAAGAGGACAGGTGAGCCACCACCATTATAGGACCTTTTGAGAGATGCTCACAGTCCTCTGGAACTAGTCGACCTAGGAGGGCAAGAAGCAAAGAGTGTCCTTTATGTCCCTCTGACCAAATTATAGGCCTCAAAGTGTGTCTGTTAAACACCCAAGAAGGTTAGTTCCACCAGTCTGGTACTTTTAATTACTGTGTGCCATGTAGATAAATCTTGGGCAAAGACCAGTTGTTCTCAGATAAACCTTACCTAGACATATATTTCTTGATCTGCTATGTATAGTTTGTCAGTAGATTGTAGGAGTAATATGGCTCCCTGTGGTTTTCAAAACTAGCTAGGCATTGTTTATCTCTTGCATTGTCTCACCCCTCCATCATGGTTTTCCCCACTTAAGGTGCCCCCATTTCTCCCCATTTCACCCTTACTAATACCATTCTCCTATGGTCCTACCTCTCTTGAGCTCCTACTTTCCTGTTATCCCCTAGGTTCCTTGTATACCCTTCCCTCCCCCCCTCCCCCAGCCTACAAAGAGGAGGGTCAACACAGAGGAATCATTTCCTTCATGCTTCCAAGTGAAGCCAACCATGGTTGAGCAGGACCTTTGACTTATCTTCCCATAAGTGGAACTAATAAAAGAAAGGAGCCAGGGGCTCCTCCCAAGCCCATGTAACTCCTGAGGAAGAGATCCTCAAACAACCTTAAGACTAAACATAAATTGGTTTATCTGGACCAACTATATGGCCAGGAGTCCATATGTATAGCTAAAGGCTACATAACAAGCAACAATGCCAGACAAGCGATACCTTCTTTTGAGTTGTTGGCCAGGGTGGTCAAAGGGACTTCCAGATAGTAACCCAGCATAGAACTGGGAGAATGAACAGCAGATCCCAATCTTATTCAAAGGAATATTGACAACTGTTTACCGCTAGATGAGGAACAGCTGACCCTCCTAAAACAAAGACCTCTAGATAGGCTGACTAGATTCACCAGAAGGGCAAGTAGTGGGGAATGGCTGGGGGTGCCAACAACACATCAGACAGTAGCAGGGATATCAGAGTATAAGGGCTCTGGTGGGGGGAGGGAGGCTATGGGAGGGTGCTATCTGGGAATTGGGTGTAAAAAAATAAATAAAAACAAATAACATTGTGTCAGAAATTGATTTCTTATTAGAAGTCAGCTAATAATGCCACAGAATTCACAGAACCTATGCTTCTAGGTATTTTACAAAACTGATACTTTTGCCATGTGTACGTGGTGTATGAATGTGTGTGTGTTCATGTGTGTTCATGTGTATGGACACGTGTGTGGAGGTGTGTGGGCATGTATGTGGAGGTCTGAGTTGAATGTCTAGAGTCGTCTTGATCACACTCCACCTTATTCATTGAGGCAGGAGTTCTCAATCGAATCCAGAGCTTAGTAGTACAGCTAGTATAGTTAGCTGGCTTGCTTCAGGGAATCCCATCTTTGCTTTCTGAGTGATTGAATTACCAGTGGGCGGCCAGCTGGGTAGGACTGAAGGTGCATGCCTTTAATATAAGCACTCAGGAGGCAGAGGAAGGTCAATCTCTATGAACTAAAGGCCACCCTGGTCTAGATTATAAGTTTCAGGGCAGCCAAGGCTAAACAGTGAGACCTTGTTTCACACCAAAGCAAACAAGAACAACCACGACCAACAACAACAACAAAAGCAACAACTGGGCTGCCATGCCCGCTTGGAATTACATGTGTTCTGATGTACAGTCTTCATACCTGAGTAGCAAGCACTTTATTCACTGGGTCATCACCCCAGTCTGTATAAAACTGAATTTAATACTAGAATTTGATTTCTTTTTTTTCTCTTGTGCTTCAAACCCACATATCCTCTTTGAATGCTGTTTTGTTTTGTTTCCCAGAAAAGGCTCATTCCATTTTAAAATCCTAGAATAATCTTTCTTCTTTTTCTTTTTTAATCTATGAGCATTTTTATTGATTTTTTTTTCTTTTTGTATTTCATACAGAACATGCCAAACAATTTATTCATTTTTATACCCACTTCCCAAATGACATCCTCCCATAGCCTCCTCCGCTCCCCACTGGAGCCCATATACTCTGTCATCCCTGTTACTGTCCACTGTGCAGTCAGTGCCCCCAGCCATTCCCCAGTGCTTGTCCATCCACCGAGTCTCATCAGCCTATCTAATTTCTTTTTATGTCTTTGTTATTTCCTTACTGCTTTTTTTTGGAATAGAGTACAAACCTCTCTGCACAGGTGATTTTATCTTTTTTTTTTTTGATAGCTAATTTATTTAGGACTTTTCCCATTCCAAGTCATCAGACTCCATAAATGATTTGCTCATGTTTTACTTCATCAGAACCATCGGAATTGATCTGCTGAAATATTTGTTTACAGCTGTGTCATCCTCCAGCTTCTCATTCTTTTCTTTGATCTCAGCAACCAATTTATCTTAATTTCTTGTACAATGAGATGATGATGGATATAGGGTCTTTGCATCTGCTATGAACTGTTTTGGTGTGGGCACATCTCCTTGCCCCTCTGGCTTTTCTCATCTCACATCTTTCAATCTTTGGTGAAAGTACTTTAAATGTGCTCTGTTCTGGCATTACAGAATGAAGCAATCTCAGTTTCAGATTGTAATCCTTTCCAGAAGGAAGTTTTACCAAAGCAGGCAACTCTTTTTCTGAAAATTCCAGATGTACATCATTCTTCTGAACATTCTTGATCATAAGTGTGATTACTTCTGTTTGATACGAGTCATACTTGATTTTTGACTGAGTCTTCTGAGATGCAGACCCCCCAGATTCTAATCCATTCTGAGTATCTTGACACCTTTTAATCTAGGCAGTAAAATTTATGTCTGCACTATCTAAATTTTGTTCTCCTGCAAAAGTTTTGAGAACAGCAGCATAGTTTTTTTTTTCATGGTATTCACATATCCCTTTTCTCAATATAGCAGTAGAATTATTTGGGTTGAGTTTACAAGACTTCTGTACACCAGCAATAACATCTCTAAAGCCGCCTGGGAGGTCCTCACTCATTAGAGCATCTGAGAAGCTCTGGAAAAAACCGCTGGGTCATTTTAGGTCCTGCCGCCACCACCACCATCCCTAAAGGTCACTGGGCTTTCTACCCCAGTTACCAGCTCCCTTGCACCCAGGAGGGAAACTTCTGGAGAACAACATCAAGACTTCCATCCTTGGTAGCCAATCATCAGCCATAGTTACTTTATCTTTTTGATTTATTTAGAGTCATATTTGTTCACTTGGGGAATATCTTGGTGTAGAAAGTCCTGCATCAAATTTTCTGTGATGCTTCTTCTATGCCCTTGAAATTATACATCTGTTTTCATTTAATTCAGGAAATTTTCCTTCAGTGAAATGTATTTTTTCTCTTCTAGTTGACAGCACATTTGTTCAGTCACTTTTGTCTGACACTATAATTTTCTGTCTCATCTTTTAAGTCTTAGTTTTTTCCTTTTAATTAATTAAATTTTTGTCAGGTGTATTCTTTGTCCTCCCTTTTGCCTATTCTATTCTAATAGTTTTGTTCTTTTGTTTTTTCTGAGTTCTTTTTTTCTTTGCTTGTTTGTTTCTTTCAACACATTTCCATAAATTTGTGATCCTGTATTTTGAGCTTAACTAAAGAGGTAACTGTATTGTATTTATTTTGCACCTCAACATTGCTTAGTTCTATTATGCTTAAATTGGTTACCTGAAATTTTGTTAAATATTTTTTAATTCTAAATTTTAGCATGATAATAATTCTTATATTTTCTCTAGAAATCCCTGTGCTTTTTTAGATTTTTTAAATGTACCTTTATTTTTAAATATAATCAAAATGAAGTGATTGGAAGAAATATCTTAGGCAAGCATAATTTGTAAGTAGATACTTAAATTACAAGCTGTAAATTCACAAATTTCTTTCTCATTAAAGATGCTTGCTTAACAACAAGGAACAGCAGCAGCTGCACCTCTTCAACCTCTTCACTTTCTAACTACTTATATGTGTTTATCTTGGGACAACTGTTGCTGGGGACTGGAGGAACTCCTCTCTACACCTTGGGAACAGCCTTTATTGATGACTCTGTGCCCACACACAAATCTTCTCTATATATAGGTAAGTGAACTCTCTGATATAACTGTCATATTATCATTTTGATTTGTTGTTTGCTTACTTTGTGGGCAGAGTATAACATAAGCTTATTAAAGAGTTGGCTCAGTGATACAGAACTTGCTTTGTGTGTACAAGGTCCTGAGTTCCATTCCCATCACCAGAAAAAAAGCAAACAAGTAAACAAACAAAAACCAGGTTAATTGTAGTGCCATGGGTATTTCTGTTAGGTAAACACAGTTGTACTTTCATTGTTTAGTTGTTACAGTCCTACCAAATCAGTTACTAGAATACATAGTCGTTTTGATAGATTGTGACTCCTTATATCTTATATGAATGTGACAAGAGTCCATAAGAAAAAAATGTAGGTTGCCCATATACTATGGAATTTTCCATTTAGAAGTCACGTTTTTCTCTTAAATTCTTTTCTTGAAATCTAGTACTAGACTATACAAGGCCTTGTATCTAATTATTGTTATTTATTGGCACACGAACTTTCTCTTCATCCATTTAGTGTTGTGTATATTAGGGGAGTCATTGCCACAGGCACTGCAAGTAAGTGTGTGCAGCTCAGCCCTGATAGAGGTTACTGAGTATACTTGGGAGCATTCCCAACAGAGAAGTGTCTATAGCAATGCTGTAGTTTTACAAAAGGAGGTGGAAATTTAGCTGAGAGGTAGCAGCACTTGCCTAGTAAAGCACAGCACCCAGGGCTCAGTCCTTGGATTTGGGGGTGGGGCGGGGGGGACAAAATTTATATACCTTATGGGTTGTTCAACCCAATTCAAGATATATAAAACAGTCTGTCACCAAAAGAATTTATATATAAATCACTAATTTATAGCATTTTAATCATTTTCTAGTCATAAACTATATATGTGCACACTTATTTTTAAATTGTATACTCACATTTTCTTCTAATAGTTTTACACTTTAAAACACTGCTGTTATATATTAAGGTAGTTGATAGATTATAAAAAGTTCTTATATATTAGCAGATCATTTTCCATGAGCTTTATATTCTAGAGTTCATCTAGGACCTAAGTTTATAAATGCTTATTTTAGTGTACAAACTAAGCTGCTTATCCTTTTGTGTTGTGTATATAAGAACTTCAGCTAATAAAACAATCTAAGACATGATAACACTATATATTTAATTTTTCTAATACTTTGTTATATATAGCAAGATATTAAATACCTGATTAGAAACAAGCTCAGTTTAACCCTCCTACTGGTGAGAATGAGGAAAATCATCAGCAGTAGTGACTTAAGATGAATGGCTGGCTTTTAAGAAATAGCTAGGGGTGGTGGTGCACACCTTTTATCCCAGTACTTGGGAGGCAGAGGCAGGCAGATTGTTGTGGTCTACATAGTGAGTTCCAGGACAGCTGGGGCTACAGGGAACCCTGTCTCAAAAAAGATGAAAAGAAAAAGAAATAGAATTGCCAGCAGATCCAGGTTTTAAAATCTGTTACAGAGTAAAATAAAACCTTTCAAGTAGATAAAGAGTGAATTTATTTCACAAGATTATAAAGAATAATTAGTGTTAAAAGGTTAACAGTATAGTTACCAGTCTACCACCATTATCACAATGTAATTGCCATGGATTTATAATTACTGGGTTTACTTTAATTATTATTATAATCAAACTTTTTAAATTGGGTCATTGTTTTTAGATTCTTTGACATAATTGTTAACCAAATGATGTCTTTCATATGGTAGTTTTTTTTTAACTGTAATTTTGATCTAGCTCCAGTCATTAAGATTTTTATATAGTAAAATATTTGTCTTTATTATTGTTAGGCAAGTGTAGAAAAAATGTTCATATGACTATTTCTAATGCCTTTCTCTTCTCGTAGGAATTGGCTATTCTATGTCAATCTTAGGCCCTGCAATTGGCTATGTCTTGGGTGGACAGCTGTTGACAATGTACATTGACGTCTCTATGGGACAAAGGCAAGATGAAACCTGTTTTTCTTTCAATGGTTATCTGCATTTCAGTAATGCAGCCCTCACAAGCCGCAACCTTTGTTAAGGATTTTCAGCAAATAAAACAACACCACCATTTTTATAACACCTAGATTTCTCTGCATGCTTCCTGGATCAGTGCTACAGAGCCTCCTAGCAGAATAATATGTCTATTCATAATAGGATGTTTAATATAGTCACTGGTGATTTTTTTTAAAAATATATATTTAAGACTCTGTGTCATTCAAGAGTAATAATTTAATATACAGTCTTTTCAGTATATAGTCTCAAAAGTGTGTGGGTCAGAGTAAATTCTCTGATAGCTTTGATACTGTTATGAAAACAAAACTATATTGCTTTATAATAATGACAGTAAGGATAAGAATGCTTTATATCTATAGATCTTAATATCTTAATGCTATATTCTAGAGAGAGCATTTGTTGTGCCAGCTCATATTATATATTATCCTATTTAATTCTCCTAGTATCTTGGTACACACGGGTTGGTAAGTGGCCAAGACGTGAGTTGAAGTAGCTTTTTTGACTTTGACTTGGAACTCCTCCCCTTTCCCTTTGACTCCCTTCTCCTTTTCCCAAATAGAGGAGTTTGTGACCCATGCTCTATTTCATTTTACCACTGGGAGTCCAATGGCATAAACCTTTACATGAACACCAGTGATGAATAAAAAATGACCCTATGTGTAAGGTTTGTTTGTAGAGCTGCCAGTCCTAGGATCTTTTAGACACAATAAAAAAGGTGTGCAGAACAAGTTTGGAAATAGGATAAGTGAGCTTTTAAAGTCAGGACACCTTAGCATCAGTGAATGGTTGGGTGAGTTGTAGGAGTGAGGTGTCTAAGGGAAGGGCCTATTGATACTAAAATATGGGAACCATTATAAGATACATTTGCTAAATCTCTTCATTAAATAAACTTAAAGAAATTGTATAATCAAAGCACAGTTTTATGGGACTTTTAACACAGATCAGTGACTTGCTGTGAGATGTATTTCATTTAATGCAATGAGGGAGAAAACAGTAGCTAAATAAGCAGACATTGTATATATACTTTTAAATATTTGTCATGCTTGTATTTACTGTTAAATATTTTACGCCTTTATGCCATGTTTGCATTATATAATGCTTTCTGAAGCATCATTTTTATACCTCTTTACATTGGTGTGTCTGCAACATGTTATCAGACTCACTGTGGTGACTTCATTACAATTTTAGATCTAGTACTGTTCTACCTTATAGGTATGTAATTTTTCATGACTGAGTTCTAATCATGACTTAAGCTGATTTTTGCCTCTTGTTTTTTGTTCATTTAGCTCTGATATCACTGAGGATGATCCCCGGTGGTTGGGGGCTTGGTGGATTGGATTTCTTTTAGCTTGGATCTTTGCTTGGTCATTAATAATGCCTTTCTCCTGCTTTCCAAAGCATTTACCAGGTAAATGTATCTTCTTTACTCCAGAGAACTTTACTGTAATAATAGGTCAGCTGCTTTCAAGGTGAATCATAGAGTCACACTGCTTGGATTTTTTTTGTTTGGTTGTTTGGTTGGTTGTTTTTTTTTTTTTTGTTTTTTTTGAGACAGGGTCTCCCTGTAGCCCCAGCTGGCCTGGAACTCATTATGTAGACCAGGCTGGCCTGGAACTCAAAGAGATCCACTTGCCTCTGCCTCCCAAGCACCGGGATCAATGGTGTGCACCACCACGCCTGACCCACACTGCTTGTTTTATAGAGCATCAGTAGACTGCCCCTGCAAACTTTTGAATATCTACCTTCATTTTAGAAAATATTTAGTAACAATGTGTTTGTGACTTTTCTTTATTACCAGTCATGTCTAATAAGTACCAAATATAATTATTAGGTTTATGGTTTACCATTCCTGCTTTATATACATGCAAGACACAATCTTCAACTTTTAGTTCATGTTCAGTTAGTTATTAGTTTCAAGGGAAAAATTATGTTAAATCATTCACATTACTTATTAGTAGTTGAAAGGACAGGTACTTGCCAGAGAACAGATTACTGCTGGCATGCTGGCACAATCTATTAATCCCAGAATTTAGGAGACGAGGTAGGCGGATCTTTGTGAGTTCTAGGCTAGTGAGGGCTACATAGAGAGACCCTGTTTCAGGAATAAAAAAGTACAGACACTTCTCTTTTTTTACTTATCCTCAAACTCATTCTGTAGTATATTTATTTTAAAACCGTATTTCAATGCTGGGTGTGGTTTGTACACGCCTTTAGTCCCAGCAGAGGCTGGCAGATCTCCATGAGTTCAAGGCCAGCCTGGTCTCATAATGAGTTCCAGGCCAGCTGGGGCTTCAGGGAGACCCTGTCTCAAAAAGACTAAAGAGAAAGAAACAAAACACCCCAGTAGGAAAGAATATCCATTCTTCTATGGGCTCATGCTTCTGAAGCATTTTCCTACAAGTTGAAGGCATTTAATTATTTCCATTGTTATTTGCAACAGAAGAGTTGGTTAACTTTTGTAAGTGGGCAAAGGGAAACTTGATACACTGGAAGCAGGTGGACCCATTTCTTTCTATCCTAGGCTATTCCATTTAAGATTCCCTGTGGTAACTCTTCATTCAGATTTATTCACAGAACTGTTGTTCAAAAGCAAAAGGCCATGACAGACAACAAATATGTCATCTTCCAAGCCTCTGTTTTTCTTTTCCTTTAGTGAACAAAGGGGAAAAAAAAGCACGCAAGTGTATTTTTTTTTTCTTTTTGATCTTTTTGAGACAGGGTCTCCCTGTAGCCCCAGCTGTCCTGGAACTCACTATGTAGACCAGGCTGGCCTTGAAGTCACAGAGATCCACCTGCCTCTGCCTCCTGAGTGCTGGGATTAAAGGTGTGCACCACCACCCGGCCCACAATTGTATTTTAAACTGAAGCAAAGAAGCATTTCAAAGGAACAATTTTAGGAAACTTCAAATGGAAAAAGAATAAATATTGGGAGTAGAATCGTCTCATTTTAATGTTTATGGAGGTTGGAAGGCTTTTTGCTAATGTTTTGTGTTTTTGAGACAAAGTCTCACACTACAGACCAGGCTAGCCTCAGACTCATGCCAAGCCTAAGTGCTGGTATTACAGGCTGGAGCCATCACACTTGGCTGCCCTTCACCAGCTCAGCCTGTTTGCAAATATTGATATTTGTACATTTTATTGGCAGATAAAAACTAACCACCAATAGAATTCACATACTTGTAGAATGTGTATCAGTTTAAAAGTAAGCATAGTTAAAATGATCAGTGAAATAATCGATGTTAGAACATCGTACATTTACTATTTTTTCCTAGGTACAGCAAAAATTCAGGCTGGCAAAACTTCTCAGACTCATCAGAATAAGAGCACTTCCTTCGAACACATAGATGAGAATTTTGGAAAAAGTATTAAAGATTTCCCATCTGCTCTAAAGGTAAAGGAAAAGTGTTTTCTGTCTCTTTTTGTCAGTCTTCCTCATATGCACACATATAAATACTCATGCACACTTCAATCTTTCTGTAATGTTTCTTTTTTAGTTGATGGCCATCATAACTTTTATATATCACTCTTCAGACTTGGTTTCATTGCCCATTGAGTAAACTATTCCAGAATAGAATAGCTGGAAGAGCATGCATTACTTCAGTGGCTGTATGAGGACTCAGTGATTCATTAGCCCTGTAGCCATGATCCCATGCCATTTCCCTTATGCAATGGATGGTCAGTCCATTGAAACCTTTTATGCCTCTGCTCAGCCACGTTTAAAGCCCCTCCTTTTTGAATCATCCCCCTTTTTCTCAGTCTCTGGGCATCGTTTCCTCCTTTACTTGAGAGGTCCCTGTTAGCATTCCTTCCTGGGTTTTGTGCCTCTGTACTTAGAAGGCACTATGCTCACCATTGCACTACCAATGCTCTTCTCACCCACCTTTGATGTCAGGAGACTTGCTGTGTTATGCTCAAGCATAAATATTACGAGAGAATCAACATTATGGATATGAATTTAAAGTTACTTAACTTTATAATTACTGTGTACTCTCATGGAACACTGTTCCTCTGTGCTCAATTTAAAATTCTCCATGTAGTGGACACAGGAATTCAAACACAATTTAAACAGTCAAATAATAAAGATTTGTAGTACAGCCATTTGCACTAAGACTAGAGAAGGGAACCTTTCCAAGTAGGCTTTTCCCTCCTCCTTAGGCCCCTTGAGAGTGATGAAGTGTAATCACCCAACTAATGAGTCATCTGCCAATTCTCTAGGTGCTTCACATAAATTTTGCCTTTGAATATGTAAATCTATTAATTAACCATAATTATAGTTTTCTGCTGGAAGAAAAGCTAAGTTTACAGGCTAATTTTTTTTTACCTTTTTGCAGGTCCTTAGGCTACCACTTTTTACTGCTGTACTTTGCAGTATAATCATAGTTATTCATTTGATGAACTGTATTTTTTCCTTAGAATTTGATGAGGAATACTGTCTTTATGTGTTTAGTTCTATCAACTACTTCTGAAGCATTAGTTACTACTGGATTTGCCACATTTTTACCTAAATTTATAGAAAATCAATTTGGAATCACATCCAGCTTCGCAGCTACCCTTGGAGGTAAAACCTTTTCTTTGTTATCAAATAATGTTATTTAACCACATTCAGATTTTTTGTGAATATATAATTTTGTCTTACACAAAGTTTTTAATTTGTACAAACTTTGAATTAGTTTCTGGTTTTCTGAAATCAATTGATTTTATCAATTTAAGACAGACAAAAGTTATAAAGCTAAGGAGAATATACTAATTTTATTAATACTTAATTTCACTAAGCCCTTACATAGTTAAACTGTGAAATCACGTGTGTATATGTTTCAATGTTAGGGGATGCTTTTATATATTAAAAACATAGTGGTGCTGGTTTGATGTTTTCCAGGTGTCAGTGTTAGTTACTGAGAGTAACTATGTGTTTTTCATTATTTTACCTTCTCATTAGGGGCTGTTTTAATTCCTGGAGCTGCTCTTGGTCAAATTTTAGGTGGTGTTCTTGTTTCCAAATTCAAAATGACGTGTAAAAATACAATGAAGTTTGCGTTGTTTACATCTGGAGTAGCACTTTTGCTGAGCTTTGTATTTATTTATGCCAAATGTGAAAATGAGCCATTTGCTGGTGTGTCTGAATCATATAATGGGTAAATATATTTCAATGATTTTTAAAACATTAATGTCAGAAAAAGAAATTGTGTATGCATTTGGAAGTGTTTGTTTTCTAAAATCAAATGATTAGGAATTGGCTTTTCTTATTTTGAAGTGGTGTTTGTATGTTTCTACGATGATGTGAAATTTCCTTCTTTGTTTTTAGTTTGAATGTTTGATTTTCTAAAAGCTGTAGGCATTGATTCAGAGAGCAGTTTATGGAACAGCTAGCAGGTACCAGGTGTTGTGTTTGACTCGGGGATTCAAAGAGGAAAACAATATTAGAGTTTGCCATAAGGGATTCTTGTTTAATAGAGTTTGAATATGTTCTCCAAAAGTTCACTTGTTAGAAACAGTCCCCAAATTCATATGGTAAGGGTGCTTTGAGGTAAAGAATTTAACAGAAGATTAGGATTAGTTGATTGACATTGTGAGGATGAAGCAGGAGGCTAGGGATTAGTACCATTTTAAGAAGTGGAACACCAAGCTAGCTTGCGTTCTTTACTTTGTCTTGTGATATCCTCTGTGTGTTATGCAGCAAGAAGTTCATCACCAGAGGTCAGGCAGGTGGTGTCACCATTTTCTTGGACTTCCCATCTTCTAACATTGTGGATCTAGCAAACCTATAGATTTTATATAAAAATTGTCCACCCTCAATTAATTTGTTATAGCGGCAATAAGCAGACTTGTGGCAACATCCTAGAATTACACATCTTATTTTTCCTATTAATATAAATCTTTTGTCCTTTTTGAGGTAGGGTCTCCCTGTAGCCCCCAGCTAACCTGGAACTCACTATATATAGACCAGGCTGGCCTTGAACTCACAGAGATCCGCCTGCCTCTGCCTCCCAACTGCTGGGACTAAAGGCATGCACCACCACGCCCAGTCTTAATTTAAATCTTATAAAAGAAAAGTCATTCCCTACAATAAAATTCTTTTAGTAGTTGAGTTGAAAGTGTACTAGATAATGGACTGGAGAGATGAATCAGTGGTTAAGAGCACTGCTGCTCTTGCAGAGGACCCAGGTTTGATTCCCAGCACCCATATGACAGCTAACAACCATCTGTAACTTCAATTCCAAGGAATACTATGCCTTCTTCTGACCTCTGCAGGCACTGCATGACATGGGTACACTTATACACAGGCAGGCAGGCAATACATACATGTAAAAAACATAAAATAAAGAGGAAAAAGTATACTAGATAAAATATGAAAATGAAACTAGACTTAAGGAATACTGATTGCTGTATTTACTTTGAAATCATGTTTACTGTAGAGACATAAATAACTTCTTGTTCTGTCCTGAAGACAAGTTTCTACCTAGAACTGGTTTTGTTGGCCAGGTTTATTTGTTATGAGACTCTGAGCCACCAATGCTGAATCAGGCAGGTGGGAAGGTGCAGCAGTGTACCTTGGAGTTCGCATGCTGCTTTAACTTTTTCATTACATGTGTAAGGGGCTATTGAAGGAGGTGATACTCCAGGTATGGGATTTCATAATTTTGTGTAAAAAATAATGCATTCATGTGACATCAATTAAATGTAATTAGTTTGGGAACGTCTGTCAATAACAGTAATCTTGATTTGTAATTGTATTCATTTGTCTGTCATTCCTTAACATTAATGCAATGCTGGTGTTCTAAATCAATATTTGGTTAAGCTCCATTACATTTAGTCAACACTTGAATGCTTCCTCTCATAGACCTTTATGGCAAAGAGAGACTGGAAAACAGTGAATGAACAATGGATTAGGTAATTGAAGCTATACCAAGCACTACGGAATTTTCAAAAGGAAGTCTTTTCAAGTCCATTTGCCTATATTCAGGAAAGGCTACTTGACCTAATGGCAAAATGATGCTGAAATATCTTTGTGGGTACAAAAGATTTTAAGAGTTGCATTTTAGAAGGAGGAAAAGCAGAAGCTGTTAAGGGCATAAATGCTATCCAAAGTGTTACTATTTTCCGGCACTGGTTTGTATGGTATTTGGGTTGTGTGTCTGGGAAATAGTAGAAGAACACATGGAAATGTTGAAAAGCTGGCAGAGTTAAGTCAGGAAGACCTGGCCCACCCCTGTAAACTTCATCTGAACCTATGCCAGCAAACCACTTTTCCGTATGTTCTTTTAGAGAAATAGAAAGTTCTGGATAATTGAGCACAATGTTTCTCACCCTGAGTGAGTGGCAAACTATATGTGAATTCATTTGGTAATTTATAGTTTATGCAGGAGTGGCTACTAGGTAAATTGTCCTTAGCATAATCAGAAGGGAGGATAAGTGGGATAGGGTCAGTTTGAGGTACACATGGGGACTGGTTATCAAGACAAATTAAAACTAGTAAGAAAAATTAAAACAAAAAGAAGAAAAAGAGAAAGCAATGGGAGCAAAGAAAAGATGAAGACTGATTACAGGCTTAGTGCTTTACTATGATCATATTGTTAGTGAATGAACACAGAACAGGCTCACATGTTACCACATTTATGCATGTGTATTGATAGCTGTAGGACAAAAACCTAGTTGAGTGTTACACGTCAGGAAGACGCTGTCATATTATTTTTCCCACTTAGCTTTAAATCTCAAAGTTTAACTTTTGTATCCCACATTTTAAAGTGTCCATATCGTATACAGCCTAGTCAAAATACTCTCATCCAAGAAATGTTTTACAGGGTATATGGAAAAAGCTAAACGAAAAACTCAGGAATGGGAGAGTGTAGAGCAGGCCACTTCCTAATACAATGGTCTGAAGAGACTTTGCTCTCTGTTACATAAACATGGGTGGGTTACAAAGAGCTTTTGGCAAGTTTGAATGAGGCCAATTGCTAAATTTATTTAACATCCGTATGTACATAAAGATAAAGAACAACAGTATTGATTATTTCAGGGGATACATATTTAGCTTTTTTTGAGGCACAATCTTGTTATATAATGTAGGCTTGCCTTGAATTTATAACCATCTTTAGCCTCCTGAATGCTGGGCTATATGCATGCACCACCACACAACTTTTTCAATAATGTGTTATGTTAATTTATTAAATCATTGTTTGTGTGCAACATTAAATAAATTGAAAGAAGATTAGGTAAATTTCTAGAAATCTATTATTTACTCTTATAATGTTTTAAGAATATAGGCTATTTGGGTCTTAGTTTGGGAGGTGGTAGTGGTGGTGGTGATGGTGGTTTGTGTTTTACTTTATATATGAAAACTCATAAAATATGAAATACTGTAGTAAAACAAATAGCTTGGTTTATTTATTTATGTATTTTTAAATTTTATATGTGAGTGTATTACCTGCATGTGTATAAGTGCACCCCTGTCACACAATGCCCACAGAGGCCAGAAGAGGGTGTCAGATCCCTTGAAACAGGTGTTACTGAGGGTTGTTAGCTGCCATATGGGTGCTGGAAATTAAACCCACTCCTTTGGAAGAACAGCAACTGTTCTTAACAACTGAGCCATCTCTCTAACCCATATTTATTTTTGAAACAGGTCTCTGTGCAGCCCAGGCTGCCCTTGAACTCACAGACATCTCTCAGCCTCTGTCTTCTAAGTGCTGGGATTAAAGGGGCGCACCACCAGGCCTTGCCTTTATATTTTAAATATTAAAAAATCTTAAATGTAAAAAGATCAGGTTTTTTTAAATGAAAAATGCTTATATTAAAATGCTATACATATTGAATAATGCTAATATTATATACATGTAAGGTATATACTTTATGAACAGTTAGTTTTCTACTAATAATTTCCTTTTCATCACATGAAATAAATTTTAATAAAATATATAGGGCAAATTGACTGACCCTTAATGATAAGGAATATTTATTTTCCTTCATTATTTCTTCTGTGATTTGTGTCATGCTGTCTTAAAACTTTGTGTATTTTAAGTAGTTATTTGTAAATAATATGACAATTATACATTGGAAACTTTAAATTAAAAAATTATTTTGAGACTGGTTATGGTGGTGCACACCTTTAAACACAGCACTTGGGAGCCAGATCCAAATGGATTTCTGTGAGTTTGAAGTTTCCTCTCTCATATCTGACTCTGATTCCTTCTTTCAGTTATATTTCTACCTCTGGTAAGAGCATTTTAAGAGCACTGACTGCTCTTGCACAGGACCCGGGTTCAATTCCCTGCAGCCACATGGCAGCTAATAACTGTCCGTAACTCCAGTTCCAGAGGATCCAACATCTTCTTCTGACCTCCGCAGGCATTGCACGATATGGGTGCACTTACAGATATGCAGACAATACACTCATAGACATAAAATAAAAATAGTACATAAAATTAAAAAAATAACGCTTTAATAAAAAATAATACATTTTTAAAAAGATAGCATGTCTGAAATTCATTGTGTGACCATGAAGTAGACCTCCCAAGATCTCTGCTCCCCTCTCTATTGTGTGTCCAACCTTCAGCCAATGAGCCACACGAGGCTGAACACAGCCAAGGATAGCTATAAATGCAGCCCAACACAAAACCATAAACTTATTTAAAATATTATGAGATTTGTGTGTGTCTGTGTGTATGTGTGCGTGTGTGTGCGTGTACCTGAATTGCATGTTTTTTAGATAGATCATTATAAATGGCAGTATGTTGCAATGTCTAATTATTGGGTGCACCTGCATTCTCTGTGGCAGATTCATCATTGTCACAGTTTCAGTTACATCTGCATCCATTTCTCTGTTGCTGTGATAAACATCATGACCAAAAGCAACTCAGGAAGCAAAGGGGTTACTTCAGTTTACAGGTTATAGTCCATCTTTGAGGGAAGTCAAGGCAGTAACTCAAGCAGGAACTGGGGGCAGGGACTGAGGCAGGGACCATGAAGAAATGCTGCTTACTGACTGGCTTCTTCTGGCCTGCTCAGCCACTCCCTCACCACACACACGCGCACACACACACACACAGAGAGAGAGAGAGAGAGAGAGAGAGAGAGAGAGAGAGAGCGCTCAGGCCCTTTGCCCGGGAATGGCACCTTCTGCAGAGAGAGAGAGAGAGAGAGAGAGAGAGAGAGAGAGAGAGAGAGAGCTCAGGCCCTTTGCCCGGGAATGGCACCTTCTGTAGTGGGCTGGCCCACTACATCAACCAGTAAGCAAGAAAATATGCCACAGAAATCTGATGGAGGAAATTCCTCAATTAAAGTTTCCTCCTCCCAGGTGTCTCACAGATTGCATCAAGTTGAGAAGAATTAACAAGCATTATACTCATTTACCTCTTCCTCAGAATTCTCCCATCCTGAAAAATGATGAAGTCATCATCCAACCAATCACCAAATTTTACTGATTCTGTCTTCAAATTTTTCTCCAGTCTCTTTCTTAAATCATGATGTATTTTACTTCTCCTTTATGTTATGATTATGTGGTTTGGGGAATATTATAATTTGCCTCCTTGCCTCAAATTCAGAGTCTGCGTAACTTTTAGAATTATTTCTTTAAAGTGAACGTTTGAGAGGTTGGAGAGATGGCTCAGTAGATAACATGCTTGCTGAGCAAGACCAAGGACTGGAGCTCCATTCCCAGAACCCATGTAAATGTGGGGTAGATGAGGTGGCCTACTCATAATTCCAGAACTTGTAAAGTGGAAACTATCCATCCTCAGAGCAAGCTGATTAGTTAGACCAGCCTGGATCAGAGAGCTCTGTCAGTGAGATGCCCTGTTTTAGTTAATAAGATGGCAAATACCCAACATCAACTTCAGGCCTCCACAGGTACATTCGCACATGTACACACGTGAACATGTGCACACACATGAATGTATACCAAACAAATATACAAATTTTTTTTTATTTTTTAAAAGTTTTGTGTGTATGTGTGTGTGTGTGTGTGTGTCTGTCTGTCTGTCTGTCTGTCTGTGTCCATGTGTTTGTGTATGTGTGGGTGCCCAGGGAGGTCAGAAGAGGGTGTAGGATATCCTGGAGCTGGCATTACAGGTAGTTGTTAGCTGCTTGATGTGAGTGCTGGGAACCAAACTTTGGTCCTTGGAAAAGCAGTAAGTGCCCTGCCCCATTGTGCCAGCTTCCAGCCTATGATGAACTTTTGAAACTATCCCTGCCCCATCTAAGCATATTTGAGCTTTTGTAGTCATTAAGGTCGTTGTAACCTGACCCTGAGTCCTTCCCAACCTCATTCCCTTTCATTCTCAGCTTCAGATACTGTTTCTATTTTTCCACATAGGATGGTGTTTCATGCCTGCTCCTTTGCTTTGTTTGGCGTCCTCTTCCCCACTGCCTGTTTAAATTGTGTTTATTCTTAGGACAATTCTGAGGTGGTGGGTTGGCAGGTCTCCTTTCTCCAAACTTTAGTTTATGTTGGGTGTCTTTCCTTGTAACTTCAGAAATGTTTTTAGGTGTCTGTAAACATGGTATGCAGATTAGCATGTAGTTAATCCACCATTTCGCTAGACTGAATCATTTATGAACAGACACGGTATTCAGCTGTGTTTCCCGTTACTCAGCAGGGCCTGCAGAGCGCCTGTTTCAGATACCTGGCTGAATGAGTTAGTAGGTGAGGCTCTGGGAAACACCTTTGTGCAGAGTAACATTTGGTATTAGGAAAGGCATGGCTTCTCACAAGCAGGAAGAGGCAATATAAGACATCCATGAGTCTGAGGACCAGGAAAACCACATTTTGCCTCAGTCTTCCTATGGCAATATGAGGATGCCGACCAACATGATTTTATTCCTCTTCTTGGTTTTAAAATGTTGCCTTTGTTCTGGGTATATTTGCAAATACCTGGCAACTTTTTTGTTTCTACAATTAAGGAGAAAGCTGCTAGTAGCTGATGGGTGGAAGTGGAGGACATAGCTAAGCATCTCACGAATAATCCACAGAACCAAGAAGGGTCTAGGACCCGAAGAGGAGCCCAGCTTCCTACTGAGACACTACTTCCATCTACCTCCATTTTTCTCTCTCTATCTCTCTCTGTCTCTCTGTCTCTCTCTCTCTCAACAGAGTCTCACTAATAGCTTGGCTGGTCTCAAACTTATAGAGAACCACCGGCCTTTGTCTCCCAAGTGCTGGACTAGGAGCATGTGCCACCACACTTGACTTATTTTTCTTTTTGAGCAAATATTATATAACTTATTTTATTGGCCTTCCCCCATAATAAATTATATGCAAAAGCGAGAATTTTGTTTCATTTATTAATAATATGTTGAGTGAATTTTTTTTTTAAATGACTTGATGTAATGATAATTGTGCTTCTCGGTTGCCCTTCCTAGTCACACCACAGACGTTTTAACTTTTCTCTTTCTTGTTTACAGTACAGGAGCACTGGGAAATCTGACCGCCCCATGTAATGCCGACTGTAACTGTCTCCAGTCCTATTATTACCCCCTCTGTGGAGGGAATGGAGTCCAGTATTTTTCTCCTTGCTTTGCAGGTTGTTTAAACTCTGTTTCAAATAGGAAATCAAAGGTAACCACATTTTCCCTTTCGCCCTCAGTGAAGCAGTGTGTTTGTGTATTGTGTTTGTCATCTTGATCCTCCAAGTGGGCTGTGCTGTGACTTCTCCTTCCTGCCTACCCCGTAGCCCCAGTTAAGCAGCCCTGGTCTCTTCAGCTGAAAAAGCCTATTCTTCTTTCCTGCCTCAGATCATTATTACTGAAAACTCAACCTGGCAGTTACAAATAGTACAATTTTACTTTGTTTTATTTTTGCCTCGATTATAAAAATCCTTGAAAATGTGGTTACTAATTTCAGTGGCCTAATAATTTAAATTTAATTACTGTTTCAAAAATCACACACCATAGGTGCATTGTAAAACTTCCAAATCAATTCATACTCAAGTATAAATTTACTTTTATCTTTTATCAGTTTACCCGGAATTTTTTCTTTTTGAATAAATTTAAATTATGTAGGTGAATCCAAGAGGCTAGCCCAGTATGCAGAGTGCTTGCCTCTTATGCATGAAATGCTGAGTTCCATCCCCAGTATGGCATATGGCATATGCAGGGTGTACTGGAATATGCTTGCCTGTGTTCCTGGCACTCAGGAGGTGGTGGCACTAGGAACAAGAATTTAAGGACATCCCCAGCTACAAACGACTTGAAAGCCAGCTTGAGGTGCATGAAATTATCTGGATGAAAATAAAGAAAAGAAAAGAGAACCTAAGGGAATTTTCCTACTTTTTGTACTGCTTCTACATATTAAAGATTTCATTTTAGCTAAATTTGAGGTTATGGGTGGTATATAAAATATTCTGCATTCGTGAGTGATGTAGTAACTTTAAAGGGGCCTAGGAGAAACATAGAATATAGTAGAAGAGACTACAATAAATAAGCTATGTACCAATTATGTGACAACTTTTAATATTTGAAATATGGGGTAGTGAAATGGAATTCTTTTCATATATGGAAAGAAGCTGAAGACTGTAAGAAAAGAATTCTACATAAATAAGCAGAAATAATTCATTGACTTAATTTATAAAATGAAGTTTTTTTAACATCAATATTGATGTGTGTGATAGTTCATATTATATATATGTAACTATAGATGTACATATATACATATCATGAGTTTGTGTATAATAAATACAATAAAACAATATATGCTAGGCGTGGTGGCACATGCCTTTAGTACATGCACTCGGGAGGCAGAGGTAGGCAGTGCTCTGAGAGTTCAAAGGCAGCCTGGTCTACGTAGTGAGTTCCAGGACAGCTGGGGCTGTAGGGAGTCTCAGAAAAACCTAAAAATCAAACACACACACACACACACACACACACACACACACACACAATTAGAGTAGGACAGAAAATTCTATGGTCAGTTTACCTTCTTAAAATGTTAAGGCTGAGACTGCTAAGATGATCAGGGGGTAAAGCTTCTTGCCTCCAAGTCTGACTCCCTGAGTCTCATCCCAGAGCCCACATGGTGGAAGGAGAGAACTGACATCTGCAGGTTGCCCTCTGATTTCCACATGTATACTATGCCACACCGACAAAAAACAAATAAGTGTAATAAAAGATTTAAAGCTGTATAGACTGAATCACTTTATTTTTTTAATTTTTTTGATATATTTTTCATTTTATGTGTATGAGTGTTTACTTGCATAAACACTTATACATAAGTGTACCACATGCGTGCAAACCCAGGGAGGCCAGAAGAGGGTGTCAGATCGCCTGGATATGGAGTTACAGACAGTTGTTAGCTGCCATGTGGGTGCTGTGAACTGAACCCAGGTCCTCTGGAGGAGCAGCCAGTACTCTTGACTGGCTGAGCTATCTCTCCAGCTCCTGAATCAAATTATTCTTACACACACATCTGATTGTTTATAATAACCATTTTGAGGGATTATCTGCTATTTGTTTTCCCTTGGTCTTAAAATTGCTGTAACACAGAGAAGAGATCTATCTGCCTCTTGGAACCATGAAAACCTCACTTTCTTTGACTTCCTGTCTCATTGTGATTTTGTTGAGATTTTAATTGAGTAAAAAAACATTAGGAATAATGTTAAGATGTAAAATATCTTTAGGAATGAGTATCTGATTTCTTTTCCTATAAAGATAAAGCTCA